TCTCTACACAAATGATCTCGCAAAACTCACTGAAACTTCTGAGATATTTGCCGATGATACTAAACTTTTTTCTAAAACCTTATCGCAATCTAATTTTGTTGATCTGCAGGATCGTCTACGCTTGGTATACGAGTGGTCAAACACTTGGTTACTTAAGCTAAACACTTCAAAATGCTGCGTCATTCATTACGGTCGAAACAACCCCCATTACAATTACTTTCTTCAAAATAACCAAGGAATCAACCAATCTCTAAGAAGCTCTACTAAAGAACGTGATTTAGGAGTCATTTTTACATCTAACCTCAAGTGGAGCGCTCATATTCAAACAGTTGTCTCTAAGTCCTTACAAATTCTCGGTATGCTGAAAAAGACATTCACTTTCATTGATGAAAAAATGGCTCTCAAATTATATAAAGTATTTATAAGACCACATCTTGAATATGGAGTGTCCATTTGGGCTCCTTTTTTAAAAGCTGATATGGCTTTGGTTGAATCTGTTCAACGCAAAGCTACAAAATGGGCTTACAGCCTGAGGCATCTTCAATACTGCGAAAGGCTAAAAAGATTAAACCTACCATCACTTGAGTTTCGACGCCTTCGATGCGATTTAATCCAAATTTTTAAATTAATACATCGTTTTGATATAGTTAATGATAAATATCTACCAAAATATATTAACTCCGTGTCTCGTGGTCGCCATTCTAAAATAAGGCGTGAGTATGTTCTAAACTGTCTTCCAAGATATAATCATTTGTATAATAGATCAGCAAAATACTGGAACAATCTACCAGAGCAAATAACTTTGTACTCCACTGTACTTTCTTTCAAAAATAGACTAGACTCCTGGTTGTGGAAAAAGTTTGGAACAAATGTTTATAAAACTGGTTGTTTATAGTGGGGTGTTTCCCCTGCTCGCTGTATGTGTACATTCTATGTAAATTTACGGCTACAACTATAATAATAATAATAATAATTCTGTTTCTTTTATGAAAAAAAACGTTTTTTCAGGAAAGTTTTCCTAATAAAAGCAGAAGATTATAGTTATGAAAAAAGTTATAATATTGCGATAAAATTTTATAATCTTTTAAACTTCGTGACAAACTTTTCTATAATAACGAAAGACAAAAATATACATAACATAATATTAGAAAAAGAATCATTATTTTTTACAACCTACTGTAAGTATAATATATTTAGAGTGATGCTTTTAAGGATCTTAAAAAAGTTCAAAGATTACATTGTAAAATTAAATCGAGCTAAAAATTTGCACTTAAAAAAACATTTTTTAGGCTCTGCTTTATCTTTTAATGGTGCTTTTTATGATGTTGTTGGTTTGTTACCTTCTGATGCTTGTTTTACCCCTACTTCTTTCTGAAATAGTAAAATTGTTCCAAATCAAGTTACTGTTTTTGTATCTTCTGATTTAAACTTGCAAATTATTAATGATGAATTGTCGTCCCCTGTTACCCCAACTTCTATAGTATACATCCTTTTAGAAAAAAAATCTGAAAATTTTCTTACTTATCTGAATGACTTTGAGTTGGTCAAAGAATGGAGAATGAAAGTGTTGTGGTAGAGGGAAAAGCTGATGGTTATGTAAAGAGCGAAGTTTGTAAAAAACAAAAATGCAGTTAATATCATTTTTGATACAATGGGGATTTAATTTATTGTATTTATGATTGTTATTCTTATTCTTATTATTAATATTATAGTTATTGTTATTATTAATGTCATTTAATTAAATGTTTTCTTGTTTGTGTTCTGTTTGTTCATCTGGAGCGGTGTTGGCGCACCCACAATTCTTTATATGTATATTTGTTTTCTATTGGACATCTGCCGTCATTGTGACATACCGGTAAGTCATGCTTTTTATTTTTGTGCAGACATACCTGTCAATAAATGTATTCTTGTGTTTACATTACTTTTGTGTTTACTTTTATGTTTTTGTAGATGTGTATGTAATTATTTGCATGTTTGTTTTTACTCACTTGTTAGTCACTATATGTATGCTTGTGTTTATGTATCCGTCAGTCATTATGTGTATGTTTGTGTCCTGTTGGATCTCTGAAGCGGTGTTGACGCACATGTAAGTCACTTTATGTATGTTTGTGTTTATGTATCTGTTACTCATTATGTGTATGTTTGTGTTCTGTTGGAACTCTGGAGCGGTGTTGACGCACCCGTAAGTCATTATATTTATTTTTGTTTTTATGTATCTATCAGTCATTGTGTGTATGCTTGTGTTATGTTAGACCTTTGGAGCGGTGCTGACCTACCCGTAAGTCATTAAATGTATGTTTGTATTTATGTAGCCATTAGCCATTATGTGTATCTTTGTGTTTATCTACCTGTAAGTCATTATATGAATCTTACTCTTCTGTTGGAACTGTGGAATGGCTATAATTTCATTTGATAATGCAGGTTAGTCATTTTGATCAAGTTTTTGTTGTTTTTTAAGTATGTTTGTGTTCTGTTGGACCTGTGGCATAGCGTTGAATCAACAGTAAGTCATTGTATGTATATTAGTTAGTTGTTCCAACTAGGCTGTAAGCAATCACTGTAGGAGTTGGAAGTTACTAGATGATAAAAGATGAAGTTTGTAGAGTAAGATAACAATTGACAGATGACTTAAAAGATTGAAAATTATATGAAAGAAGGAAGCGAGATAAAGGAAGTGAATTCCAAAGAACTGATGTTCATAGAAAAAAATAGAAGAATAAGAGTTTTTGGAGCACTTAGAATCAGTCACAAGAGAATGAATTTTAGTAGATAAACAAGGGACGTTAGCTCTTTAGAGCAGTGTCCATATTTGTAGAAAAGAGAAAAAGAAGCAGCATTACAACGATGTGATAATGTTTGGAGGTCGGCTGCAAGAGCAAGTCCAACTATGTTTACAATACTTTTTTGCTCCTTGTCTAAAAGAGAAAAGGCATCATTAGAATATCTGCCCCAGATATGGAAACAGTAATCCAAACAGGGACGGATTTTAGATTTATAGAGATAGATAATAGAATTTAGAGTAAAAAAGTGTCAAGCTCGATAAAGAGATGCAACTTTAGCAGATACTAATTTTGCAATGGATTTGGTATATTGTTTCCAAGAAAGATCACAAGTAAGAGTTAATTCTAGAAGATGAAGAGTAGATGACTCATCTAGTACATTACCGTTCATAAATATAGGAAGATCTAAATTATAACGACAACTGTTAGCAAAAAAAAATTTTTATCTCAATTAAAGTTCACTGGTTACTGTGAGCACCATGCTGTAGCAGAAGTGAGATACCACTTCCAACCAATCAGAGAGTGTTGGCATCTTATTAAAACAAAAATAAATGGTAGTGTTGTCAGGGAACAGTGCCACCATAGATGTAGGAGTATCTAGAATATCGTTAATGTAAATTAAAAAGAGTATAGGGCCAAGTATTAAAACTTGATGGGTAGAAGCTAACCTTGTTAGTTAAGTATTGACACTAGTGTGAATTTGTAGCGTTTAGTGCCACAGGGTCTGTGTGTTTTATGATTGTGATGTTATTGTTGTGATGTTTTGTGTTGATAGACAACTTGGCTTACCTTCTCGCAGGTGTGTATCGTTAGAAATGATTATTAGTTTGTTTCATTACTAAAACTACTTCTAATTATTCACTAAAAGCCAGAAGATAAGTTTTAGAATTACAATATTTTTTGTTTAAATGTTGTTTTCATTTTTTTATCTTAGGTGTTGTCAATTACTCACAAATCTCAAAGAATAAGTTTCTTATTTTATATTTATTTCGTTTTAATTGTTAATTTATAACTTTTATTAATTTTTAACTTTTATTAATTTTTAACTTTTAAAATGAATTAACTAATACTTTTTAAAAATTATTGTGTATCTAATCTTATTTGATGTATTATTGTATGTATTTAGATGTATTATTTTTAATAATAATTTTATTACAATTTTAGGTAGAGTTTTTGCTGTTACACCTGCTATTACTGTTGTAAGTACTCAAAATTTCAGGAAGTTCTGTTGCTGTAAGTTAATTTCATTCAAATTTGAATGTTAGCTTTATTAAAAAATCTTCTGTCTGTTAAATAGGTAATTCTTAATGAATTAGATAGATTTCAATGCCCTAACGCAGTGATTTACTAATAGGTTTGTAAATTAGGCAATAGTTTTAAACAGATGAATTAATTAAATTCCACGATCCTTTATGCATATTTGCGTGGAGTTTTTATAATATAAACCAAATGTTTTTCTTTTTTTTCTAAAAGATTTAAATCTATATTTTTTTTAAAAGACTAGGTTAATAAATAAAAACACTTAAGTCTGTAAAATTAACAATTCTAGATTATTTTGACAGATGCAAAAAAATATATGGCATTTATTTTTTTTATAGTTATGTATCTCTATCGAAAATATAAAGTCAAATGTAATAACAATTGGAAATTATCAAATATCTTAAAAGTCAAATTGCCCAATTAGTCTGTGCAATCCTATACCTGTGTAATTTAATGACCGGTCTGTACTATAGTTTCAAATTAATGTAATTTTCAGATTCCATGATTCCTTTGTGCATATTTCCATATTGTAACCCTAATTTTTGTTTATCATCAAATAAATATACAACTAAAAACACTTCAGCATGTAAAATAGACGATTCTCTATGATCGTAACAGATTCAATAAAAACTGGATCACTATTTAAAAATTCAAGTCAAATGTAATAACTGTTCAAATATATCAAATATATTTAAGGTCGATAAACCCAATTGGTTAGTACTTCCCTTTTTCTGTAATTTAATAACCGGTCTGTATTTTATGCAATAAATTAACTGAAAGGTCTGAAAATTATGTAAATGATGTATTTGTTGGATTCCATTATTCATTTATGTATATTATAGCAACAACAACAACAACAATAAGCTATTTATTTTCCATTTTAAAATCATTTTTACAATAATAAGGTAAATAATATTAACAATAGTTATAAAATAATAAACAATAGTAATAATTTTTAACAATAACAACAATAATAACAGAAAAAAATTATAAAGAATAATAATCACTATAATAATAAGTAAAATGATACGTTATTTTTATTATAATAAGTTGATAATTAGTATGGATGGTGTCGCTCATACAGATTAACAATTGATAGAGATATAACTTTTCTTTAAAACTCTGTAAAATATATAACATTTATATAATAAAAACCTTATTGAAAAAACTTGTAGTTATCGCAGTTATATCAGTAATGGGTTGATAACTGATAAGGAGCATAATTGCAGGGCAACTGCAGTGCCTTTCCTAAACATAGTAATACAATAATATAAAGTATTCTATTACTTTAAAACAGCATATATATATGTAAATATATATATACATATATATATATATATATATATATATATATATATATATATATATATTTATAAATATATATATATATATATATATATATATATATATATATATATATATATATATATATATATATATATATATATATATATATATTTGTATATATATATATATATATATATATATATATATATATATATATATATATATATATATATATATATATATATATATATATATATATATATATATATATATATATATATACAAAGTTTCATAACTCCCATTATCGTAGTGATGGTTTAACTAAATTGTAAATCCGAGTGTATATTGTTTGAGATATGTTCATTACAATTATTATTATATTCAAAAATGTAAAGTAGGACAACTTACTTGCATATTCAATAGAATATACTTGCGCAACCAAATCCATAAATTTTTTGTATAACTAAATATTTGAAACTTTTTTTTTATACTTGAATGCATCATGAATGCATGCTATATTATAATATAGCATGCATGAATAATGCATGCAAGTACTTCTAGCACTAAGGTCATCACATACTTTATTTCATGTTTGTTGTAACATCAAATTAACTAACCCGTCAATCTTCGTACCTTTTGCATTAACATTAAGATAAAATTTTTTCTCAACTGAAAAATAAAAACTATTTTACTATAACATAAAATGGTTAATCGTTTACTTATTAAAACTTGCTTCTTTTTTTATACATATTAGAACAAACTAAATTAAACTAATATTTTTAAATTTATAATATATATATATATATATATATATATATATATATATATATATATATATATATATATATATATATATATATATATATACATATATATATATATATTTATATATATATATATATATATATATATATATATATATTTATATATATATATATATATATATATATATATATATATATATACATATATATATATATATATATATATATATATATATAAATATATGTAAATATATATATATATATATATATATATTTATATGTAAATATATATATATATATATATATATATATATATATATATATATATATATATATATATATATAATATTATTTTCTTTAACAAGCGATTTATTCAATTTTCAGTGCAATTTTTCCATACTTAACCATTTCTACTGTAATTGGAAAGTTATGGATTGATTATATGTTATTATTTTCAGCTTATATATTATTAGTTTCTATACAAGCATTAACAAATTAAAAGAAAACCTTTAAAATAGTTTAATCAGTACTTTTGAGCTTTTTGAATATCTGCTGAATATCAATGCCTTCTTCAGTTTCTGTTATTTAAAACTTTTGTAATCCTCATGACAACCTGTAAAGAAATAACAAAACATCTTATCCAAAGCAATGGCAAATAAATTTAAAAAGTAAACTGTTTAACATTTTGAAAATAAAATTTATAATATCACAAATTAAAATAACAACTCAAAAAAATATCAAGCTTTTGGTTCTTCCAACCTAACAGCCTGGCAATATGACATTTTGCTGAAATGTTAACACTAATTTGGTTGAAGGTACATCAACACATAGCATTAACTTGTAATTAAACTTGTTAAAAGTGTTTCAAATAAGTTTAGTCGTTTATTTTTATAACTTTTTTTGCTGACTTTAGTTTTCCAAATTCCATGGGATGATATACATTTTCATACTATATATTTCGACCCGTAAAATTTCAGGCCAGGTAGGTTTTTTCCCAACATAATAAAATAAATGAATATTAATGCAATAAATAGCTTTTTATTAGCCAGAGCAATTAGATTATAATTTAAAAGGTAAATATCTGACAAATGTTCAACTATTAGAATGATAATTAGAACGTTAATGCATATAATAATAAATAAAATGATTTTACTTTTATTTTAAACTTATATAGATAAAAAATTATCTGTTTAGCGTTTGATTTAATAATGAGTATTTAGACACTGATCTCAAAATAATAACTGGATAGCGTATTCTATTGTTTTTTGTAAAAAAAGTTAAAGACAATTTTGGCCTACCAAGATGCCGTCGGTTAGAACTGTTAGCGGTTTGAATCGTATAAAAATTCTACCGGATAAGAAAAGTAAACTATTTTTAAGGAAAATAAGATGGCGAAACAAATTTATTTG